CGGGTTCCTGCACCTGCAGCAGCCCCAGGACAGGAGACACCCCCGAGTCCCGTGGGAGCTGTGCTGGGGCTCAGGTACCTTCACAGCAGCTGTCAGGCGGTTGCAGTCGTCAAAGCCCTGGCAGAAGATGGCAGCCAGCTGCTTGTTCGCATCCTCAACCTTCTTCTGGAACTCTGCAAAGTCTGTGTTCCACTCCTGCCATTGAGAGCAAAATGGTTCAAAGCGGCACAGCCCCTGTGCCTCCTTCTCAGATCCTTCAGGAAGGGTTTGCTGAACCCACAGGGCCCAGAGCCCCATGACGTGCTCCAGAGCCAGCCTTGTGCTGCGGGGCAGTCCCTTGTGTGACTGCAGCCCGTTCTCACAAGACATTTTTCTCTTTTCGCTAAGCAATGTTAACACCTCCATTCCAGCACCCATTGCATTTCCACTCCAGCACCTGCTCCTCACCTCTTCATCGGGATCCAAGGGATCGTATTTGCAGTCAGCAAAAGCCTTGGTGGCTTCACAGATCTCCTCAGAGATCCTCAGCACCCAGGTCCCAAGGAAGTTTCCTCGCACCCCTCCCAGCACCGTCTTCTCCAGCCTCTGGAATTCGATGGCTGCCTGGAACAGCTCCTGGCAAGCACAAAGCCCAGTGTACCTGGCTCCCCTGTGCCAGCATGCAGGTGCAGGAGCTGCAGCACCAGCACAGCCCAGCAGTGCTGAGGAGCAGCCCCACAGGGGTGGCATGGCCAGGCTGTGCCCATCCTGCTGTGGGGGCTCGGGGAACCTGCCCTGGCAATGGTGGCACTGACTCCCAGTGATGTCCCACTGTGCCAGCGGCCCCAGCCCACCCCAGGCTGCAGCTGAGCCCCCTCTGTGGCACTGCCTCCCCAGGACCCATCCCCAGGGCAGGGAGGCCTGGCTGAGGCTGGCACTGTGCCCTGAAGTGCTGTGCTCTCACCTTCATGGCCCTGAGCCTGCACAGGAAGGCATCCATCCTCCCAAAGATCTGCGGCGGGGGAAACTCCCAGAGCTCCTTCTGCTCCTGGAGGAAGGGGAGAGGGGCTGTCAGACCGGCGCTGGTGTGCAGGGTCAGAGCTCCTGCACCATCCCTGCACCCACCGGGAAGAACGTGCTCGTTAGCTCAGAGCAGTAGGTGCTGTAGGACTGGAAGAACTTCTCTATGATGGAGATGGCGTGTTTGAGTCCCTCCAGGGTCTCCTGGGGCTCTCCTTGCAGCCCCTTCATCATGTCCTCTGGGTTCAGGTATTTGTAGGTCTGGGACAGACACAGGCAGGGTGTCAGGAGGAAGTGGAGGCTCCTGCTGCCCCTTTCAGCCCCACAGACTTGCTGTGGTTGCCTGCAGCCCGTGCCTGCCCCAGAGCCCCCCAGCCCCAGGGAGCTCTGCTGCTGCCTTGTCTGGGGTGTCTCCACATCACCGTGACTGGATTCTCCACATCTGCCCTGAGAGGCAGCAGCTGGAGGGGACGGGGTGGGTCAGTGCTGGCCGGGGGTGGGTCAGTGCTGGCCGTGGGGCCGTACCAGGCTGATGAAGAAGTTGCAGGTCTCCTGCAGGATGCGGGCTATGTGGGCAGGCGAGTGGTAGTGCACGCAGTGAGCGCGGAGCAGGCAGATGGTGCAGAGCACCTTGGGCACCAAGGGCCGCAGCTGCGGGAGCAGAGCCTCGTCAGTGTTGGGGATGTGTCCCCCCACAGCCTCTGGGGCTCTGCTGCTGCCCAGGTGAGGCCAGCAGGCTGTGCCTGGTTATTTAGCCACACATCAGTTACCTCGGGGTACTCCATTTGCTCCATGTCCTCCAGCAGCCCCTGCAGCGGCTGCAGGTGCAGGTTGACATCATTGGCTTCCTCCAGACCTAGGACAGGGAGAAAGCCCGTGTTGGGATGGGAACACCTGGTTGGGGGCAGCCACCACCCTGTCACGGGACCTCACCCCCATTGACGGCCCTGATCATGTTCTGCAGCGACGGCCAGTAGCAGCTGTCAGCCTTCTCCAGGGCCTTGGCCAGCCCTGTCACCTGGGGCGTCACCAGCTGGGGAAGAGGCACCAGGATCAGCACGGGCGGCTCAGCACGAGGACACCTGGCCACGGGTGGGTGGGACAGTACCTGCTCACTGATGCACTGCAGGCTGGTCACCCTGGTCTGCCAGAAATTAAACTCCACCTTGGGCAGGGGGTGCAGCCCCTCCTGCAGCTGCCGCGCTGGGTCCTGGCCGAAGATCTCCTCAACCAGCTGGAACCACTCGATGACCACGGTCTCGATGGAGTGCAGCACTGTGCCATCGATGGGCCCCACCAGCCTGGAAGGCAGATGGGTTATGCCCTTGGGAGGCCTGAACTGCCCCAGGGGAGCCCCCGGAGCCCCAGGGAAGCCCTCACTCCTGCTTGAGGCCATCTCAGCCGGGGCAGATGCCTGCCCTCAAGCACTGTCTGCTGCAGGGGATGGCTGTGCCCAGGGCTGTGCAGGGACCCAGCTCCCATCCCTTCCCGAGTGATTTATGCTGCCCTGGGCCCCTGCCAGGCTTTTCTGGCCCCAAGCGGTGCCACCCACCAGTCCAGGGCGGCGCCTGAGTCCTCCCAGCTGACCAGGTGCTCGGGCAGTGGCAGCAGTGGCTTCCCCTGGATCTTGCCAGTCATCATGAACATCTTGTTCTGCAGCTGCTGAGTGTGGCGCACGATGTCCTCCGCCACAATCCTGGGCCAGTTCAGCCCCTCATCCTGGCTCAGGAGCAGAGGGGTCACAACCTGCGAGACAGGGCTGGCTCAGGCACTGCGTTGTGACCTGCTGTACACAGGGCACTGGGCACTTCCCTCTCGCTGCACACTGAGGCAGTGTCAGCGCAGTCACGGCTCTCTTGGCCACACATGGGTGCTGCTGGTATTTATCAGTGTGACCAGAAGGCCCTTTGCTCTGGTTTCCAGCTCTCATGGCCTGGGAAGGGCTGGAAGTGGCACAGCGAATGCATCTGGCAGGGTCAGGGGCTGGCACATGAGCAAAAGCCCCCAGCAATGAGGGGGAACATTGGGAGCTCCTGGAGCTGATGAAGCTTTTGGGTGCTCTGGGCTGGCAGCAGGAATATTTATGGGAAGTTTGAGGGAAACCCACTTCGACATTTCCCAGCTGCAGGGTAAAGGTAAGGGGGCATTATTATGAGTTTCTAAAATTGCAGGGAGGAAGTGATCCAGTAGGGGCCAGAAGCAAACCAGCTTGGTGACTTTCACCCAGCTCCTGTCCTTGTGGGGCTTGTTCAGCATAGGATGGGAGCCACCGCAAGGTCAGGGTGAGGACCTGGCACAAGTTTTCTCTGTGAATTTTAGTTCATTTTGGAGCCCACCTGGAGATTTGGCTAGAGCAGCCCACAGCGGGGTCCCAGTGTGCCCAGGGAGCTGCAGTCACCCTGCTCAGCCCCGGCCTGTTCCTGCACAGGTAACACTTGATGCACAGGTAACCCACCTCCAGCAGCACGGTGATGAGCTGCTCCACGGGCGAGGCGCCCACGTCTCCCACCAGCAGCGCGCTCCGACAGTTCTCCCCGGTGATGTTCTCCTCCTTCTTCTTCACGCAGTAGAATGCCTTGCCCTTCAGGGCAGGTGGGAAGGAGGTAGTGGGCTGGAGCTGCCCGGCCGGGGTCAGCGCCAGCACCAGCTCCCGCAGCTCTGGCTGCTTGAAGAACTTGTCCAGCAGGACTGAGGTCTCCTCGCTGGCCGCAAACTTGGCCCACTTGTCGGGCCGGACGCGCAGCAGCGCCGTGGCCAGGTTCTCCAGGAGGACCAGCCTCTCGTCCGGCTGTGGGTCTGACATCCTGCCAGCACGGGCTCCCCAGCACCTGCGGGGTCCAGAGGGAAACCCCGCTCAGCCAGGGCTGTGCCGGCCCCACACCCTGCCCTGGCACTGCCATCATCCCACCCCTGCCCTGCCCTGCCCTGCCCTGAGCCTTCCCTCTGCACACCACAGGGGAAGCTGCCAGTCCCAGCCCTGCCTGGGCCCAGTGGCCCCAAGCCTGCCCCATCACTGCCTGCCCCATCCCTGCCTGCCCCATCCCTGCCTGCCCCATCACCACCCGGCCCTATTGCCCTCTGACCTGCCCCATCCCTGGACCTTCCCCATCCCTGCCTGCCCCTGTTACCCCCTGACCTGCCCATCCCAGCCTGGCGCTATCGCTGCCCTGGCTCACCCCAATCTTACCTGGCTCTGCTGCTTCCCTGTCGCACTCCTCAAGGCTCCAACAGCCTCCAGGCACTGGCAGACCCCACCTGCCACTGCCAGCAGTTCAACTGACAGCGTGCCCCAACCGACCCTGGCACCAGCCCAACGGGCACCAGCCCAACTGCAGGGCTGCCCTTGCCCATGCACACCCCAGTGCCCCATCCCTCAGCGAGGGCTCTTTGCCCACCCTGGCCAGACCCTGGCTGCAGGGCCAAAGGCTGCAGGGCCAAAGGCTGCCCCATCCGAGGCACAGGATGGGCAGGGGCTGCAGCAGGGAATGCTCTCGCAGATCCCCCCATGGCACAAGGGTGTCTGACTGGACAACGCCTCCAGGCTGATGGCACCAACACTGCTGGCACAGGCTCGGCACTCCCAGCCTGGCTTTGATCCCACTCACAGCTGGCACCAGCTGGGTATGCAGCCCCCTGCCCGGTGCAGAACACGGTACCCGAGGGTACTCCCTGTCCCCACTGTGCCAGGTCCTCCACAGTGCCCTGAACGCCTGTGCCCAGCCAAGCCTGGTGCCCGCAGCAGCTGCAGCACCAAGAGCTGCCCCACCTGGAACAGAGCAGAGCTCACTGCCCTGTGCTCTACACTGAGGCACCCCAGGCAGTGCCCTGGTGCCCAGGGGCAGCTGGTGAGGCACAGGGCTCACAAACACCCCCAGCACACCTCGGGCTGGGAGGAGCATTAACCCAGGCCAGGGCTGGGCACAGGGCAAGGGCTGACAGTGGCAGGGGACTCCTGCCCACCCCGAGCTGCACAGAGCACAGGAGGCCAAGGGAAGCGTGGTGCAAGTATTTATTTGTTGCTGATCTTCAGCACTAGTTTACAAGGCCATGGCAAATTAAAAAAAAAAAAAAGAAAAAAAAGGTTAGAATAAAAAATCCTGCCCACCCGCCCCACTCCTGTGAGGCCTCTGCACTGAACCACCCACATACAAAATAATCTACAAGGAGAAAACTATACAGGAGTATTTACACCTCTGATAAATAGGCTAATACTGATCCAGGCGCCTCCAGACCGTGCGTGGGGATGGGGACAGGACAAGACACAGGCGATTGTGAGGCAGAGAGAGAGCTGGGGCCGCAGCCAGCCCCCCAGCAGCAGCCATCCCGAGGGCAGGCTCCACCAGGGCACCATGCCAGCCTGGCACACGGCCCTGGCACAGGGATGTGCTGGGGCAATGCCACCGAGTGCTGCCACATCCCAGCCACGGCTCCCACAGCTGGGTGAGGGCACATCCCCGCCCTGCGTGGCACCACGGCTCGCCACCAGTCCCCGCCCTTCGTCCCTCCTGTGTCTGGGGACCACTCCAGTGCAGGGGGGGCTGGGAGGGTCCAAGGCAGCAGCGTGGGGACGCCCAGGACAGACCCAGGCCCGCTACAACGAGGGCCAGGAGCTGTATCTCTCTCTGCAGGGCTGGCACCTGCACCCCAGCACCTGTGGCACCCCAAAACCACCAGCTGCTCACCAACAGCTGCCCGCCCTCCTGCCCAACACCCCAAGAGTGTCTGAGCACGGGTGTTGGGGACCCAGTGCCATGAGGTTGCAGGCTTGTTGGGGGTCAGAGGCAGGGAGGGTGCCCATGGTGCTCAGGCCAGGGCTCCCAGGGGGGCTGTGTTCCAACCTGAGCCTCTGAGGACGCTCTCAGGTGATGAGGCAGTGACGGGGGCAGAGTCACTGAGATGCCCGTGCCCCTTCCCTCCCCCCGCAGTAAGAAATGGCTAAGCTGAAGCTGGGCCCCGGGCCTCAAGGGCCAGCGTGCAGCGTGGCCCCCACCCCACATGCCCCCAGGACAGGGGAGCACTTGGGCTGGCCTTGCAGGGCCAGTCTGGCTGCTAGTGCCGCTTGGTGGACGAGACCTTCTTCTTCCTGGCAGCCAGCATCTCGTAGAAGGGGTCCCGGCTGATGGCGGCCCTGGCAGGGGAACGAGGGCTGGGTCAGGCCAAGCTGCGGCAGGGATGGGTGCCACCCGCCTGGCCTGGCCCTGGGCAGGCCCCTCTGTATCCCTGGGGAAGCTTTCTTCCCCCATCCCTGCAGGACGCCCTGGGAAGCACCGTCCCCTTTTGGACAGCAGGCAGGTCCCTGCTGTGCCCCCACACGCTCCTCCAAGCACTCACTTGATGCACTTGATCCACTCCTCCTTCTCCTCGGGCGTGGGGGCAGAGATGCGATACACGGTGTGGTTCCCCTCCACCACGCGCCCATCTGCCTCTGTCTTGCAGGCCTTGATCACCTGGTCCTTGTTGTCAGGGATGTAGAGCTCAAAGCAGTTCTGGGAGGGAGAGAGTGCTCACTCACAGCCCCCATTTCCAAAGGGGAGCCCAGACTGGGAGGGACAAAGCAGAGCCACACGCCTGGCACAGCCACCCCAGCACAGCACAGAGGGACAGACACACCGTGATTGTCACCCCCTGGCCCTGCATGTGCCCCTGTGGTGACCAGCCCCACTTTGATGAAGGCAGTGACCGCTCTGGGGCCCTCTGTCCCTCCTGGGGACATCTCGGCGTGCTGCAACACCTCCCAGCTTCTCCTGCCCAAGCCAAAGCTGCCCCCAAACCCCAGAGGACACTGCCACAGCACTCACCGGCTTCTTTGAGTCCTCCACCTCGCGGATGCTCAGGTTCTCCAGGGGGATGATGCCACGGGGCTCCTTATCCTGGTGCAGCCAAGCAGATGTTTAGCTGTGGGGTGGGACACCCCCAGCGCAGCCCCTTCCCTGCCCCAGCCCAGCGCACCCTGCAGGGGCCCACTCACCGTTGTGTACTCGAAGTAGTAAAGGCAGTTGTCCGTCAGGATGAACCAGCGCCGCTTCCACGTCTTCACCCTGCCTCCTGGGAGCAGAGAGGGCCAGTCGGGCACAGCCCTGAGAGCAGGGCCGGGCACACGGCACCGGGCCGGGCACACATGGCAGCTCGGGCACACATGGCAGCTCGGCAGCGCGGAGCGGGCCGGGCACACGGCACCGGGCCGGGCACACGGCAGCTCAGGCACATGGCATCTCGGTGCCAGCCAGGCACGCGGAGCCCCGGCGGACACACAGAGCCAAGCAGAGGCAGGCAGCGGTGGGCAGCAGCAGCAGCAGGCAGCGCACACCGCACCCACCCGAGCAGGAAGCGCACGGATGAGGATGGAGACGAGGGCGGCAGCGCTCCCACCCAAACACACATCAGCACAGCTAGAGGAAACTGCGGCCAGGCAGCTCCCTGGGAGGACACGGGGATTTCTGTCCACACTGACCATGGTCCCACTCGTCCTGGACCCCGGGCAAGGCGGACCCAAGGCCACAGGGTCCGCAGCTGCCAGCACTGTGAGAAGTTGCCCTGCTCCCCCCACCCGGCCCAGCTCCCCTCCAGTGCAGCCATTGCAGCAGTGCCGAATGCAGGATGAGCACCCACCCCTGCAGGATCCAGCATGGACAAAAGGAGCCACAGTGTACACTGGGGGTCCTGCTCATCTCCTTCCCTGCCAGGAAGGCCCTGTGGCCCCTGCTGCCCTGTGCCCGCTGGCAGCCCACCCCTGGCCTGCCCCAGAGCAGTTCAGAGGGTCAGCACCAGTGCTCCCCGACAGCTTGGGGTGCAGGCATTGGAGCAGTGCTGGTGCCTCATGGGTTCTGCTGTGAGCCCTTAGCACAGGGCAGCACGCAGATCCATCCCATCCAGCTCCAGCCACTTGGCACGCCCCAACCACCCGTGCACGTGACTGTCGTAAAGACGGCCATAAAGCGCGACTGTCGAAAAAGGTGCCGTAAATCACGACTGTCGTAAAGACGGCCGTAAAGCGCGACTGTCGTAAAAGGTGCCGTAAAGCGCGACTGTCGTAAAGACGGCCGTACAGCGCGACTGTCGTAAAAGGGGCAGTAAAGCGCGACTGTCGTAAAGACGGCCGTAAAGCGCGACTGTCGTAAAAGGGGCCGTAAATCGCGACTGTCGTAAAAGGGGCCGTAAAGCGCGACTGTCGTAAAGACGGCCGTAAAGCGCGACTGTCGTAAAGACTGCCGTAAAGCGCGACTGTCGTAAAGACGGCCGTAAAGCGCGACTGTCGTAAAGACGGCCGTAAAGCGCGACTGTCGTAAAAGGGGCCGTAAAGCGCGACTGTCGTAAAAGTGGCCGTAAAGCGCGACTGTCGTAAAGACTGCCGTAAAGCGCGACTGTCGTAAAAGGGGCCGTAAAGCGCGACTGTCGTAAAAGGGGTCGTAAAGCGCGACTGTCGTAAAAGGGGCCGTAAAGCGCGACTGTCGTAAAGACTGCCGTAAAGCGCGACTGTCGTAAAGACGGCCATAAAGCGCGACTGTCGTAAAGACGGCCGTAAAGCGCGACTGTCGTAAAAGGGGCCGTAAAGCGCGACTGTCGTAAAAGTGGCCGTAAAGCGCGACTGTCGTAAAGACTGCCGTAAAGCGCGACTGTCGTAAAAGTGGCCGTAAAGCGCGACTGTCGTAAAAGGGGTCGTAAAGCGCGACTGTCGTAAAAGGGGCCGTAAAGCGCGACTGTCGTAAAGACGGCCGTAAAGCGCGAGTGTCGTAAAAGGGGCCGTAAAGCGCGACTGTCGTAAAAGGGGTCGTAAAGCGCGACTGTCGTAAAAGGGGTCGTAAAGCGCGACTGTCGTAAAGACGGCCGTAAAGCGCGACTGTCGTAAAAGGGGCCGTAAAGCGCGACTGTCGTAAAGACGGCCGTAAAGCGCGACTGTCGTAAAGACTGCCGTAAAGCGCGACTGTCGTAAAAGGGGCCGTAAAGCGCGACTGTCGTAAAGACTGCCGTAAAGCGCGACTGTCGTAAAGACGGCCGTAAAGCGCGACTGTCGTAAAGACTGCCGTAAAGCGCGACTGTCGTAAAGACGGCCGTAAAGCACGACTGTCGTAAAAGGGGCCGTAAAGCGCGACTGTCGTAAAGACGGCCGTAAAGCGCGACTGTCGTAAAAGGGGCCGTAAAGCGCGACTGTCGTAAAGACTGCCGTAAAGCACGACTGTCGTAAAAGGGGCCGTAAAGCGCGACTGTCGTAAAAGGGGCCGTAAAGCGCGACTGTCGTAAAAGGGGCCGTAAAGCGCGACTGTCGTGAAGACTGCCGTAAAGCGCGACTGTCGTAAAGACTGCCGTAAAGCGTGACTGTCGTAAAGACTGCCGTAAAGCGTGACTGTCGTAAAGACGGCCGTAAAGCGCGACTGTCGTAAAGACGGCCGTAAAGCGCGACTGTCGTAAAGACTGCCGTAAAGCGCGACTGTCGTAAAAGGGGCCGTAAATCGCGACTGTCGTAAAAGGGGCCGTAAAGCGCGACTGTCGTAAAAGGGGCCGTAAAGCGCGACTGTCGTAAAAGGGGCCGTAAAGCACGACTGTCGTAAAAGGGGCCGTAAAGCACGACTGTCGTAAAGACTGCCGTAAAGCGCGACTGTCGTAAAAGGGGCCGTGAATCGCGACTGTCGTAAAAGGGGCCGTAAATCGCGACTGTCGTAAAGACGGCCGTAAAGCGCGACTGTCGTAAAGACGGCCGTAAAGCGTGACTGTCGTAAAGACTGCCGTAAAGCGCGACTGTCGTAAAAGGGGCCGTAAAGCACGACTGTCGTAAAGACTGCCGTAAAGCGTGACTGTCGTAAAGATGGCCGTAAAGCGCGACTGTCGTAAAAGGGGCCGTAAAGCGCGACTGTCGTAAAGATGGCCGTAAAGCGCGACTGTCGTAAAAGGGGCCGTAAAGCGTGACTGCCGTAAAGACGGCCGTAAAGCGCGACTGTCGTAAAAGGGGCCGTAAAGCGCGACTGTCGTAAAGACTGCTGTAAAGCGCGACTGTTGTAAAAGGGGGTGACGTAATGCCCTGATTGAGGACACTGCTTCTGCCACATTGAGGTTGGTGACACTCTGGTCTAATAATGGGACACACTCACTCTGCCCACGACACAGATCTCTATAAGTAACTAAAACCTGTCTTCAGTTCCAAGCCAGTTACCGAAATAGGAGTTTAAAAACCTCTTAGAATGGACTTTAATGAATTCCCTAATGCTGACTGTTCAGCCGTCTCAGACTTTTTGGAGACACCCCAAATCTGTGCCCATCCCTTGTGTCACCGGAGGCAAGGACCCACTGGCCAGGCTGAGCTGTCTGTGGACATGATGGTGCACAGCTGGGCGGGTGTCCTCCCCCAGCTGGCAGAGGAGGCCACAGGCCTTGGGGAATGCATGGCATGGGCAGGCTGGCACCCCACATCCCTGCCTGGAGGTGGAGAGGGGCTGTCCTGCAGCAGGCGAGGTCCCCGGGTGTGTGGGGTTAGCAGCAACAGCAGCAGCAATGAGACTCATCACCAGCAATTAAAAACGCAAAGGAAACGAAGCCCCAGCAGTGTGAGCAGAGCAGGGAAGAGGGGTACGTACCTCCTGGAGTTGGGGGCAAGGAAAGGAAGAGCCAAAATCATGGAAACATATAAATGAGGGAGAAAAGAAAATTAAAAAAAAAAAGGAAACAAATAAAAAGAGGAACCCCAAAGCCCCCCCTTGCCCTGCGGGTCAGTGGGGCCGGGCTGCAGCAGGGAAGCTGTGAGGGGCTGGGCCAGCGGCAGGGCTGTGGGGGCTTGACTGCCCTGGCTCACTGTGGCTCTGTGGGATGGGGCTCCTTGGCTGCTGGGGACACCCCCTGGCTGAACAGCAGGGTCCTTCCCTGCCCCCCAAGGCAGTTGGGGTCCACAGCCACTCTCTGTCTCTCCGCCATCCCATCGGTGGTGCCAACCTGAGCCTGGGTGCCCAGGGCCCCTCCAGTCAGGGACAGGAGAGCCTGGGCTGTCCTGTGTGCCCCCACCCCAGGGCAGGGAGCAGGCAGCTCTCGCTGTCCCCTCCCAAGGGCTGGCCCCGAATCAGGAGTTCTGACCCAAGGCAGAACCATGGGAAAACATCCCAGCGGACCCCGATCCTGCCGACGCCCATTCCCCCACCAAACCCGGGCAGAGGATCCCCCAGAGGTGCCAAGAAGAGAAGCCACAGGAGCCAGGGCGCGGAGGCTCCGGCTGGGAGCAGGGTGCAGCAGGGATGCCATGCATGCTGCCTGCATGTGGAGCCGGGATGCGAGGTGGTAATGCCGTGGGAAAGTGAGGCAGGTCTGGTCTGTGGTATGGAGGGGGACGCACGCAGCCTGGGGCAGCTCGCCGCTTGCGCCTGGGGGCCTGCTCCACATCCTGCTGTGACTCGGTGACCTGAGGGGCTTCGAGGTCTCTGTGCTCTGACACCAGACCCTGGTACCAGCTCTGTGCTGGGGGCTTGCCCAGCCTAGAGGCAGAGTCCCCCAGGACACCCACCCAGCCACTCTGCAGGGCCTCATCAGCTCTGAGTCTGCTCCTGCTGCCCAGCCAGGGGAAGATGGAGGGCTGGAGGTACTGCCCTTCCTATGAAGGCTGTGCCTGTCTCTGTAGCCTCCTGATGCTCCGAAGAGCCAGGCCAGCAGGAGAAATGTGGGAAGCCCAGGGGCACTGCACCCTGGAGACAGCCTGCCCTCCCTTGCTGCTGGCACTCACCGAGCTTCAGGAGCCAGCCCTCCCGGTCAGGGTTGAAGAAGGTGTGGGTGAGGTCATTGCCGTCATCCTCAGGGATTTTGAAGGGCTCATTCTTGATGCTCTCATACAGGTTCTGGTACAATGACATGGAATCAGCTCTGCTTTGCCCTGCAGCCCCATGCTGGGCCCTGCTCTGGGCCAGCTTTGCAGCCTGGCCTGGCCCTCACCTGGAGCAGCTCCTCAGGCAGGTCCCCCCCGTCATTAATGCCGCGGTTCATGGCGATGAATCGCTCCGCCGTGGGCTTGTCCTTCACGTTGGGATTGTGCAGGCTCGTGTTCAGCATGATGATGGCAAAGGACAGCACGTAGCAGGTGTCTGCAGGGGCAGAGGGGAAAGTCAGCTGTGGGGCAGGATGATACCAGGGGCTGGTATCTGTCTGGGACAGGCGCCCACCTGTGGACTGGAAGACACCGGGGTTGCACTGGCAGTACCGCTGGGCAAAGGCCTCCATCATCCGGTCAATCTTCTGTGCCTCCCCTGGCAGCCGGAAGCTCCACAGGAACTGCCTGTGGAGATCCAGCTGTGCTGCTGCTCTGGGGGCTCCAGGGTCCCCAGCACCCGCCGTGGGCCACGCTCAGCTCACAGCCCCTTACTCACCGCAGGGCCTGCACAAGGTTGAGGTCAGTGAATTCATGCAGCTCCACGAAGGCATGCAGGACTTGGATGTTGAACTCATCCCTGTGGGAACAAAGCCAGAGCACGAGGGATGCATGATCAGCAATCCTGTGACTGCTGAGCGGCTCCCTGTCCCTGCCCTTCTCCAGAGTCTACTCATGCATGGGGAAAGCTGCAGTTACCCCCTGCTTGATCCCTGGTCTGGTCTGCACAAATCACCACTTGCAAGAGCCAGCCATGAACCGAATACCCCCAGCACCCTGAGTACCCCCAGTGAGCTGCCCTGTGAGCTCAGAGCTGCAGTGTCCCGTCTCTCAGGTGGCAGGAGCCCACAGCCCCCCCAGGAAACCCGAGCCCAGCGCACCTCTCGCCCAGGTAGTCGCCGATGGCTGTCTTGTTGAGGCCCTCTCCCTTGTACAGGAACTGCGCAATGTCCTCACATGTGTTCTTCAGCAGGTCGTTCTCAATCAGGAACTGGATGCCCTGGAGGGGTACAAGAGAGGTGCTTGAGGGTCTGTGGCTGCCCCCACCAGCCCCAGCAACCTGGACTGGGAGGTGGCAGAGCCCTGCACACCCCCAGAGCAGGTAACCAGCCCTGCTCCCCATCCCACAGTACCTTCTTGGGATCCATGTTGAACTTCTTCCTGCCCATGGCCACCTGCTTGTTCCTCTGCATGTTTTTCCTGCAAGGCATGAAGCAGCTCTGAGCACCTGGCAGGGCCCCACTGGGGCAGTGCACTGTGGGGAGGGTCAGCCTGGACCAAGGGGACCCAGGCCCCCATGCTGTACCCACAGGGGACAAAGCCAACACACTGCTCTGTCTCTGCCCCACACTGTGGCCTGGGGCTGTTCTCAGCCTGTCAGGCCCCAGAACAGAGCAGAGCTGCCACCCTTGGGGTACCCTTGGGGTCACCTGAGCAGAGGGGGTGCAGGCACAGCACCTGTCAGGTCACCCAGATACAGGCAGGCTTGGGCAGACTGGCTGTGGCAGGGCTCTGGGGAGAGCAGGGGGGCTGGCAGAAGGGGACAGTCCTCATGCCCCGGTGGGTAACTGGGAACGATGCTGGGAGTCAGCTCCCACCAGGCCCCCTGATCCCGGCTGGCACCAGCTCAGAATAACAAAGCTCGCCAGTGGCTGTGGCCAGACAGAGGGGCTGGGCTTGGAAAAACAGACCTGGGAGCAGCAGATCATCCTGGAATCCTGCTCCCAGGAGCTCAGGGTGCCTGGGAAAGCTGCTCACAGCAGCACCCGTGGGCTCAGCTGCCCTCGGCTCCCGCACAGCCCTCGGGGGCTCCATGGGGCTAGACTCACCTCTCCTCCGTGGAGCCCAGGTTCTCGATCTCATTCGTCACTTCTGCTATCTCATCCTTGAGGCGCTGTGGGGAGAGGGGGCGCTGAGACAAGGAGGTGCCTCCCCCAAAACCCTCCAGCCCTGGAGACAGCCCCACTCCCCCATAGCACCACTCCCCCACAGCCCCTCCTTCCCTCCCTCCCTCCCTTCTCTCCCCACCCCAAGCGCTGCCCAGGGGCTGAACCAGCTCAGAGGGCACCGGCAGTGGGGCTGCTTGCCCCCCACTGCTAATCCCTGCCGCACTGCCACGCTCCCAGCATGCAGGAAGGAAGAGATTCAGAGGTTAACAAAATTACCCCTAATCCCTCCAGATCATGCCCAGCATATGGCGGTAATTAGCCTCTGGTGCCTTAATCAGGGACACGACTGACAGTGTCCCAGATGAGCCCCAACCTCACAGGCTCTTGCCAGGGCAGTGGCCTGGCCCAGATACGTGGTCCCTGCCCGTGCCAGGCAGGGGCTGGCACAGACTAGCACAACTGCACAGCCTGGAGCTCTGCAGGGGACAGGAGAAGGCATGGCTGCTTTGGCAGGGCAGGGACGGCTGGCTGCCACCCGGGACCCCATTCCAGCTGGGACCCTGTCCCCAGAGCCCTCCAGAGGAAGAGCTGTGGGGCAGCAGCACAAGGGGTCCTGGATGGGGCTCCAGGGACCCTGCCAGCCCTGCTGCTGTCCCTGGCCAGGGGAGTGTGTGGGTCCCTGGGTATTGTACCTGTATGTCAGCCAGCAGCTCCTGCTTTCGGCGGCGGATGTTCTCCAGCTCCTGGCACTCCTCTGGCGTCAAGTCACTGGGCACTGAGCACAGACACGACAGGTCAGCACGTGTGCTCCTGGCAATCAGGCCTGCCAGGCTCCTGGCACAGGCTCTGCTCCCAGCCAGCAGCTGTGGGCCTGGCTGGAGGCAGGAGGAGCTGGGCTGGCGAGCAGTGTCCCCAGCCTCACACAGAGGCCAAGTGGCACCAATGGCATGAAAGGAATTCGAGGGCAAGGGCATCTGCTCCTTCAGACTGTGGCAGCTGCAGAGTGAGAACCAACACAGGCCCCCACATCACCTCCAGCACTGCTCTGCCAGCCCTGCTGCCCCCCAGTGCCATTCTCCTCTGCTCTGCCCCAGCTGGGCTGGTGTGGGTGCCCGTTCTGCTCCCCACAGCTAGGCAGCTCTGCTGTGCCCTGCAGCACAGCTCCACACCAACCTGCAGCCCTGCAGGCTGCTCTGCTGCACCAGGTCAGCCGCAAACATCAACCAGCTCCTTGCAGCTCCCTCTGCAGTGGATTCATTGTTCTGGGGCAGAGCCTGGAGCTGGTGCAGCCTCCAGACAGACCTCACCTGCACACCACGACATCTACACCTTCCTGTCACCCTGGGGAGCCAGATACCCCCTCTCCAACACCATCGCCCAGGGACACCACATGGTCCCCGTGCTCCAGGAACATTCCTAGTGCTCCTTGGTGTGTGACCTCCCTGCTTCACGGTGACAAGGTTCCCATTCCTGTTCCCTCCAGTCCCCAAGGTCACAGGCTCCTTCAAGAGCGCTCCCAGCCCTCCTACTATGCTCCTGTCTCCCACCTGGTTCTGTGCGTTGCACCAAGGTCACCTGCAAGGACACCAAAACACCCTCCCTCCAGTGTTGTCCCCAAGGGAGGTGGCAGCAGGATCTGCCAGCTCAGCTCTTGTGTTACCCCCACCTCCGGCCCTGGGGTGGTGGGAACAGGTGTCTGTAGGGCTGTCCCCATCCTCCCTGCCCCAAGCATGACCCCCTGACCCGTGAGGTCCCGTGTGCCACCACTGCCACCAGCCCAGACTCACCAGTGTCCCCAGCGCAGTCACCGCCCCACGTCAGGGCCCAAAGACCCCGTGTGCCTCTGGACCAGCACTGTCCTCAGCTGTGCATCGATTCCCCCTGCACCGCCTCAGTGGGAGCTCGCCGGGTGACCCTGCACCCTGAATCTCTGAGCTCAGCACTTCCCCGCTCTGCCCTGGCCCTGATCAGCTTCCTCCTTCACAGCCCCCTCCTGTTGCCAAGGCTGAGGCGCCTCGGCTTGCGACACCGGCCCTCAGACACGCCAACACTTCCCAATACTTGCAGTCTCCATGTCGGGGAGCCTGAGCCAGACAGGTCGGCTGGTGGCACCAGGTTAAAAGTCACCTACGGTACCAGAGCTCTGTGGATGCATCCCAGCACCTCCCGCCCGCCCCATTCTCAGCATTCCCACCGGCACCAGCCCCCACTGCCAGGCCCTCAGGGCGCCCTGCAAGCCCAGGCTTGCAGGGGGAGGGATGAGCTGCGTCACACCCGCTCATCAGACACAGAAACCCCCTAACCCTGGGCTCTGCCTGTGCCACAGGACCTCCTGCCCAGCTGCAGGACCCTCTTGTCCAGCCGCCAGACGCCCGGCCTTGCCGCAGGAAAAGCCAAATTCATGCCAGGCCTCAGGCAAGCCCTCAGCTCTGCCTCTTCCCTGCCCACCTGGGAGAGGACAGGGGTTCCAGCCGTGTCCCGGCGGCCCCGGGACAGGCGTGGGGCAGAGGAGACGCTGCAGGGCAGCAGGACAGGACGGCAGGGCTGCTGCAGAGCCCCGGAAGGTCCCTCCCCGGCGGAGGCTGAGCACTCGTGACAAGCAGCCCAGCCATGTCAGCAGCAGCCAGAGGAAGAGAAACCCCAGACGCAGGAGCTTTTCTGGGGAAGGAAGGCGGCATTAACCCTTCCCTGGCTCTGCACAGCAACTGCCCTGGAGAGCCCCAGTGAGCCTGGCCGCAGGCAGAGCAGTGCCGGGGGATGGGAGGCTGGAACACACACTGGCACAGAGATCGCACAGGGACCCACCACCCTGCAGGATCCCAGCACAGCGGGGCCTCCCCACCAGCGCAGGAATGCGGGGGCTCCCCTGGGATCCTGTACCGGGGCAGCAGGATGTGCCCATGGGGCTCGGGGCTCACCCCAGAGCAGCAGGATGTGCCCATGGGGCTCACCCCAGAGCAGCAGGATCTGTCCATGGGGCTCACCCCAGAGCAGCAGGATCTGATCTGTCCGTGGGGCTCACCCCAGAGCAGCAGGATGTGCCCATGGGGCTCACCCCAGAGCAGCAGGATCTGTCCATGAGGCTCGGGGCTCACCCCAGAGCAGCACCCGCAGCCTCTCCGCACCTCACCCAGAGCACAGCCCCGCCGCACAGGGCTCTGCCGGCCTCGCCTCGGTCCCAGCGCCGCCCGCGGACAGCGGGGCACACACGGAGCCAGCGGGGCACACACGGGGGCACACCCGGACCGTCGGCCGCCCCCGCCCGGCCCCCGCGCCCCGGCCCCGCTCACCGTGACCCTGTGCCCTCAGCACCATGGTGCCAGGGCTGTCCCCGGCCCCGCCGGCCGTGCCCGAGCTGCCGTGCCGGGTGCGGACACCTGCAGCCGCGGTGCTTCCGCGGTGACTCAGGGCCCCGTACCAATGAGCTCCGCGGCCTCCCGGGCGTCATCCCGGCCTCGCCGGGAGCCGGCACCAGCACCACCCTGTTCCTGCCGCCATGAGCCGCCAGCACCTTAACTCCTGTGCTCCCGGCTGGGAGGGAACGGGCGTCAGGGCTGCTCGCCCTCCCTGGCTCAGGGCCCTGTGCTGGGGTCCCAGCCAGGCAGGCCCCGGGCCGGCCCAGCCCTTCCTTCCTCGCAGCCGGCCAGGACACCCGGCCCGGCACATCTTGAGCACAGCCCCGGGCTCCCCTCCCTTCCCCTCCAGCAGACCCCCGGCCCCGCAGCTCCCCCGTCTCTGCCAGAGCTCCCCACTGCAGGACCAGGCCCTGTGCTGGCCGTGGGACCGCTGGTGCCCGCTGCCCTCCCCAGGCTCCATGGCATCGCCCACAGCGGGCTGGGACAGGAACGGGAACCGGAGAAGGACAGGAGCCATGCCAGCCCCCACGGGATGTTGTTCCCCACTGTCTTGCCCCCTCGCTCTGGGGTGTCTGTCGGGACCCCACTGCTCCGTTCAGGACCCCTGTGTGGTGAGTCTGGGTGCTGTGGGGCCGTGCCTGCAGTGGGAGCGACCCCAGCATGTCCCTGTCCCCATCCCTGTCCCTGTCAGTTCCCTGAGAGGCTGCATCAGTTTCGGCTGCCTTGACTCAGCTAATTCCTGCTCAGCAGCAGGAGATGGAGACACGGCACCCGGAATGCCAGCTATGGAGCAAGGGCAGGGTGGGCTTCAGGAGCCTCGGGGTGTGCTTCAGCCCCCTGAGCTACCGCAGCAGCCAGCCCTGCTGCCGGCCCACGCTGTGCCACGCCAGAGGGACAACAGCCCCGGGGTCAGGCAGGCCGTGGGGACGAGCCCAGGGTCTCTGTGTGCTGCTGCGGGTGCCGCCACCCCCACCCCTCGGTGGGGTCCCGTGGGGCCCCCAAAACATCCTGCTTGTCTCCTCACACCACATCCTGTTTTCACCATGTGCACACCCTGGCTTGCGTCAGCCCCATCCTTCCCCACCGACAGCTGAGGTGCGTCAGGAGGAGGGTTTGGGGACAGGCCCTCCTAGGCTGCTGGACCCTGTGCTCAGGACACTCTACTGCTTTTGTGCAGCCCTGCCCAACACCCCATTAACCCTGCTTCCCCGACCCGGAGCCCACTAAGGAACCCGTCCACAGCCGCTACCTCGCTCCCAGTGGCTCAAGGCTCCAACATTCCCAAGCACAGACCCCCAGCCTCCAGCATGGCTGGGTGAGCACCAGCTCAGCAATGTCTACAGACACTGTGCATGTGCAAGGAATTCAGCCAGGCAGGCACCTCACCTGCTCCCAGCACAGCTTATGGTGCCAGGCCTCAAGAGGAGCAGAGCCCAGCTAAGCCACAGGGCTGGCCGAGGGGGTCCCACAACCTCCTGCCCACTGCAGAGCTCCCCAGTCCCACAGCTGGGCACGAGCCAGCAGGTCACAGAGGTGGCTGACCTTCAGCACACCCACAGCGTGACAGGAGCTGGGCTTTCCCACACAGACTTCCCTTTGGAGAGTGACACCCTGCCCTCCATAGCCACCAGCACTTGTGATGAGTGCGACTGAGCACTCACACATCCTCTGGGGCAGGACCTGCCACGGCCATCCTGTGCTGCCTGTGACCTCCCAGCCACCACCACTGGCTCCCCAACACCCCTGTCTCACCATGGCACCAGCGCCAGCACAGGGCAATGCCAGGCAAGGGGCCCGGCGCTTTCAGAGGCCCAGGCTTGGGAAGGCCGGCAGAGGAAGGAGGCAGAGAGACGGTGAGGACACTCTGTGCTGCTTTCAGCAGGAGCCATATGGAGCCAGAGCCATGGGCCTCCCATGCCTGCTGGGGGATGGGAGCCCCGCGGCACAGAGGGGAGGGGGCACGCAGTGCCTACCTGCCTTGGCAGCCACCGAGGGGCAGAGGAACGCCTGGAAACTGGAGGCGCAGAGCTCGCTGACCGTCCCCATGCCGCGGGGGTCCCACGCAGGATGCCACCAGCTCCGGGAGGGCAAGGCAGGGACGGGCAGAGGTCAGGCAGGAGCGCACGGAGCCCAGACAGGTGCGCTGGCCGAGCAGTGGGCTCCCCGGTACTGGGCAGGCAGCCAGTGCCGAGGGCAGCTCCCCTACGCCCGGAGCAGGGCAGCCGGAGCAGTCCCGGCTCTGCCTGGAGCCGACTCTGGCTCTGGTTCTGCCAGGGGAGCTCCAGCCGCAGGAGCCCACGCGCCAGCCCCAGCCAATCCCCGCCGCACCGGCACGCCAGCCCGTGCCACCCCGGAGCCACAGCGGGCGCCTCAAAGCCACTTGGAGGACGAGGAGTTTGGAAGTTCCCAGCAGCCCCCCCGGCCGGGCGGCCTGCCCCCGGCAGCCCCCTTGCCCCCGCGGGGAGCCGGCAGCGGGGTATTTTTAGAGAGGTTTTATCCCTCCGTATTAGAGCATTAAGCATCAGGAGCCGGCGGTCGCATAGCAACGAGCGCCGCATGAAGGAAGGAAGGTGCACCCAGAGAAGCGCGGCGGTGCAGCGCGGGGGTGCCGGCACGGCCCCCGCTCCTGGGGCGCAGGGCCCGAGCCCTGACCCAGCCCCACGGGCTCGGCCAGCCCTGCGTGCCAGCACAAACACACACTCTGGTCATGCCCCAGAGGTGCTGCCCACTCCGCTGCGGCCCTGGAGCGTGGGGGCTCCTGCAGCAGGAACCGGGGGGTCGTGCCCTGGGATCCCAGGCTGGGGCACAGCTGTGGAGCTGGGGAAATGCACCACCCTCCCAGCCTCCCAGCCCACAGGCACTGAGCAAACCCAAACCGGACTGACAGCTCCTCTCCTCAAAGCAGGAGCGATCCTGAGCGCAGGGCATGGCCATGAGTAACAAACCCCAGGGCCTGTCAGGGCAGGAGCAGCTCGACAGCTCCGCTCACCCGCCCCTGCATCCACCGGGATCGCTGAGCCAGGAGTAACTCGAGCAGGGCAGGCAGAAGCCCAGACGGGGCAGGCAGTGGGGAAGGGCACCCTGGCAGGCAGGAGCAGTCCCTGATCCCTGACTGCAGAGAGGAGGAGAGAGTGGAGAAGGGCAGCTGACAGGGCAGCCAGGCCGTCACTGCTGATGTGACTGACCTTCTGCTTTCAACACCACTTCCCCTTTCCCAGGGGCCAGAGCAGCGGTTACCACATCACCAGGAGGCAAAAGGGGCAAGCGAAGGGAGCCGGGGGCACAGGGGAGGCTGAGCTGGGCACGTGCTGTACAAGCTCCTGCCTGGGCCTCGACTGGCATCTGGAGAAACCCCAGTGTGGCACAGGCACGTGGGTGCTGTGGCTGGGATGAGGCAGGGCCAGGTGGCATCTCCCGCACAGAGCGACCTGGATGCCTGGCTGGGTCCCTGCAGCCTGTCCAGGCAAGGTGGGGTGTTTACAAACCATAGATACAGCCCTGACAGGACTGCAAGTGTCAGCAGCAGGGCTCATTGTCCTCTGCTCCAAACACCTCAGGAGAGGAACCGCCTCTGCCCAAGTGCCTGGCTCTGCTCTCCAAGCCTGGTGCTCCCCCAGCACTGCCTCTCTGCCTCTGACCTGGGAGTCCATCCCTGAGCTCTGTGGAAGAGTGGCTCCCCAAGCTGGGCCCAGCACCTTGCCCAGGCTGACCCCACACTGTGCAAGGGAAGGTCTAGGGCATCAGCAGCAGTTCCCTCAGCAGTGTTCCCTGGTGCCCAGGGACATGCCATGGTCCCAGCATGGGACATGTCGTGGTCCCAGCATGGGACAGCCAAGCCTGTACCAAAGGGCTGCCAGCACCCGCTGGCCAAACAGGACTTTGCAGGCTGGTGGCGAGGAGGGCAGGGACTGCCTGGGTGAGGAGCCCTCAGCCAGCCTGCTGCAGAGCTGGCAGCCCGCCCTCCTTTGGGGATCCCCCACACCTTGCACAGCCCACCCTGCCCCAGACAGCGAGGGCCCCTGGCACAAGCTGCTTTGCTGGAGGCTGCATCAACCCTGCTTAGAGAAATCCCTTAATCCCCGGGCCAGAGTGAGCTGTAATCCCTTGGGGGCAGCGGGATTACCAGCACTGCCCAATCCCCCTCTCCCTGGGGCCAGCCTGAGCCGTGCTGGGGCCCAGCTCAGGACACGGTGCCAGGACAGGACTGTGCTCCCACATCCTCTCACCCGTGCTGCAGCTCGGCAAGGCAGGAGCAGCCAGGATGGTTCCCCGCCAGGACACCGCTTCCCCACGGTCCAGAGGCGTTTGAGCCACGCCACTGCTCCGGTCAGTGCTGCTCCGGGGTGGGCTCGGTCTCGCTGCTGTCCCCACGGGGAGATGCTGGGAAGGGGGTGGGAGTGCAGCCCCACGCCTGGCAGGAGCAGGGGGAGCGCACATCTGTGCCGCCAGCTGCTCGCCCCGGGATTTGCTCTCTGCCGAGGCAGAGGGCTGAAGAGGGGCCGTGAGCCGTGGGGCAGACACTGGCGTCAGCACAATCCCACCAGAAACAGACTGCCCGTCGGCTCCCACCACGCTACAGCCTCGCAGAATGTCCTTGGCTAAACCGGCTCAGCTTAAGTGCTCCGGGGCAGGGGGCTGTGCTGCCCCAGCACAGGAACAGTGGGGTGGAGGCAGCTGTGCACTCCCTGCCTTCCCCGCGGCAGGATGAGCGGCACATTTCTAATGCCGAGAGATGACCCGGGATGTCTTCCAGGTGATTCCGGGAAGCACCAGAGGCTGCTGGCAGAACCACTCCCCACAGCGCTCTCCTGCTGATGGGCTGTGTCTGACAACACCCGAGCCAGGCCGCAGCCGCCGGCACCTCCTTATCTCACACAGCGAAGTCCTCGCAGGCCAGCACTGTCACTTCGGGGGTGGATCAGCAGCTCCTAATCGGCCGTGTCGCACAGCTGGGCAGGAAACCGGCCGCGAACCAGCACTGCCGGCAGTGGCACTGGGCTGGCACCGGCTGCTCCGAGGAAGAACGGGCACCAGCACGGCTCCAGCACCGGGGCCATGTCCCAGACCTCAGCCACACTCCAGTGTCCCCTTAGCAAAGGCCCTGCCCGAGGAACACCACCTGCCGACACACGGGCACCGGCCCGGGAGAGACCGGGCACAGGCAGGGCGTCCCTGCCCAGTCCCGCTCCTCGGTACCGGGAGGAAGGAACGCTCTGCGGGCACGGAGGGCGGAATGCACGGGCATGAGAGCGGAGACCCTGCAACCGCCGAGCCACCGGGGCCCGCCCGGGTGCGGCTCCGGGCACGCCGGGAGCTCCCGAACCGGGGCTGTGACATTCAGCAGGCGCCATCGCGGCCAACCTGCCCCGAGCTCTGCGGGGCCGGGCTGGGCAGTGCCGGGGGAGCACCGGGGCAAAGTGCGAGCGGCGGACGGAAGGCGTGCGGGCAGCACCGGAGCTCCGCGGGCCCGGGAGGGCGGCCCGGCGGCGCGCCCGCCTCCCGCGCTACCGGCGGGCACCAGGTGCCAGTTCCGCCCGGCGCTTCCTCCACCGCCGCCCGCACGATGCCGCCAAGGCCCCTCTGTCACCTGCGGGCGCAGGTCCCGCCGCCACCGCCGAATCCCCGCCCGTCCCGGAGCCACCGCCCCCGGTCCTGCACCTGGGAGCGGCCCGGCCCAAGCGCGCCCCGCCCGGGAGAGGCGCCGCCGCCCAGCGGGGACCACGGCCTACCCCAGCACCTCGCCCCGGGCCAGGTGGGTGTCCCAGAGCCCCCCGCCCGCCCCCGGCCCGCACTGACCGCAGCCGCCGCCCTCCTCCTCCTCCATCCCGCCGCCGCCGCTCCGGCCCCGCCCGCGTGACGAGCGCGCCGCAGCCGCCACGGCCGGCACCACGTGACCCGGGAGGGGCGGAGCCTGGCAGGCCCCGCCCTCTGCCGCCCGTCCCGGTGATTCCTCCCCATCCCGGTGATACCCCCCCGATCCCGGTGATTCTCCCCCATCCCGGTGCCCCTCTCGCCGCTCGCCCCTCGCAACCGCAGCTGACCACGGCCGAGTGACAAAGACCGGGATTTATTCAGTTCCATCCTTCAGTTCCCGCAGCGCCGGCGGCAGCGCTCCGGCCCCGCAGGGATCCATTCCCCGGTGCCCCCGCGCCAGCGCGGGTCGGGCCGACACGGGCCGGGGGAGGCTCTCCATGCAGCTGGTGCGGGGATGGGGCGCCATGGAGGGAGGGCCGGTGACGGCGGCAAAGGGGAGGCACAGCAGCACGGAGCAGCAGGGACCGGCTTGAGGCACTTGCCAGGAGCCCCCGCAGGCGCGGGCTGGGGCAGGGGGGGAACAGGCACGGAGAGGATGACGAGGAGCCCGGCCGAGGCAGGCTGGAGGCGAGGCAGCGTGGGCAGGCTCCTGTGCAGCTGGAAAGCAGCTCCCCGAAGGAGAAGGCACAAGCCCAGGGCTGTGGCTCTATTCCCTCCCCTCTGTATGTGCTCCACCGCCAGCTCCCAGGACAGCGCTGCCCTCGGTCCCTGACCCGGGACTGCTCCCTGAGCTGTGGGGATGCAGATCTCAACCTGCGAGGAAAGAGCAGAGTCAGCCCCCAGCAGGCTGCCAGCCCCAGCCCCAGGCTCGCTGTGCCCCCTCATGGCTCACTCACCCGAGAGCCGGTGGCCCAGGCTGGCCATCTTGGCAGGATGCGACATCAACCAGAAGTTGCGCTTGTTCTGCAACTTCTGGAACGGATTTGAGTCTCTCCTCCGCTCCTGCTTCATCTTCCTCATTTTCTTTACCTGTGCAGAGGTAGGAGAGCGCTCAGGTCAGCGTGCAGAGGCCCCAGCCTCCTCCCACCTGCCCCAGGCCAGCACGCACCTTTCCTTTGTCGAACTCCTGGTCCCACTCGTCAATGACGGTCTTGCTTTGGGCCAGGGCTGTGTCCCGAATGGCATCCTGGCTCACGGCCGAAATCTCCCCCTGCCACGTCAACACTGCAGAGCAGTGAAGTCAGCAGAGCACCAGGCTGTGCCCTGCTGCCCCAGGCCCTGCCCCGGGGCTGGAGCCCCTCGCTGCCCACCCTGTGCCAGCCCCGTGCCCGGCTGCACCTGCCCGCCTGCACTGGCTGGGGGGGCTCAGGCCCTGCAGAGCTGGGGGGCTCTGCCCCCACCCAGGGCTCAGGGCAGGGGGCCCGCACGGCTGTTTGCCCACCAGGTGAGCCAGGATTACCTTGTTTGCCGTAAGCCTTGTCCAAGGAGTTCTGGAGCAGCTTGTCCACCACGCTGGACTCGCGGCCCTCAGGGGCTGTGCCTGCCCAGCTGCTGGCACAGGGGCTCGGGGCAGCCAGGGAGGGTCTCTCGTCCCCAGCCTGGCTGCCACTGGGACGTGCTGCCACTGCAGAGAGAGGCAGG